CAATTCCCAAGAATCACAATCAAGACGATATCGACTAAACAGTTACAAATGGAGAATATGACTTGAAGAACTAAGCGGCAGAGAACTAACAGTAACTTCAGTGACTTCAATCATCCTTCAGATCGTTTACATCTCTAATGCACCCCATATTGAGACGGAAGTATAACAAGCAAATAAGAAAACAAACTCAACGAGAAGACAACGGGGTAGGAGAAGAAGGAACGACAAGTGATCAACGGAGCACCCATGAGTAAATGAGAAACAACGACGAAAACTATCTATGATCAGCCAATCAAGATGAGGGACACTGCGGGGATATGCAGGTGCGCCAGCCACAGAAATAGTTCCTGCTGGATGTGACCACAGAAGGAGATATGTTTGACTAAACATGAGAATGGAAGAAAAGCAAATTCTCATAACAACAACGGACAGGGAGACTTGCCATGAGAACTGAGTTGAACTCCTTTCGAGAAGGGAACAGCCCAGTCTTTGATTTTTTGTTTCAAAAATGAAAACCTCTCTACTTCACTAGGACTTTTCAAAGACAGTAAAGAAAAAAAGAAAAAGTAAAGAAACTCTTTCTAGCTCGTTCTAACATTGGTTAAACGACTTCGAAGAAAGGTGACTGTTGGAACCATTACAGAAGTTGGGAGTGGGGGGGGGGGTCGGATTAGCTATGAAATCATATCATCAGTTCACACGAGGTGGAGACTAACCTAAGAAACTACTTGAAACAACCGAAAACGGAGAAAGGACAAATGAACAGGAGAGAGAGGGATGGTAACACCACACAAGAATCCTAACCGAGTAGTTGGAATGGAAGTTGAGGAACGAAAAGATTGACGAAGAGCGTACAGTGGGGATACATTAGAGAGAAGTTCATAAGACATGAGTGTGACACGAGGTAGTGAAAAACAACTGTAACAGGTACTGATGATAGGCTAGACAACGAGGCTGCCGCTAAGAGAATCTTCTCAACTTCAATCGCACAAGGATTATCTGGGTACGAAACAAGAAGATTCAGAATCGCTTCTGACAAGGAAGAAACCTGCGGGGTAGAGAGCAGACATTGGAAACGATAACATGGGAACTCACAAGTATTCGATAACCTGTAAGTCTAGAAAGATAGGCAAAGTACAGGAAATCAATAAGAACAGAAGATGGACAGCTCGGGCAAAACTACATCTCTGGATGGAATGGTTAACGATGGTCTATGAGAATATGAATAGGAGAACGATGAGGAAAAACAAAGCAAACAAAAAAATTTTAGGTTATCTCAAAATGTTTGAAAATCAATTGGACAATTTTCTAAACATGGACACATGATCACACAACCTCTCTCCAGCGGCTGAACAGACCAAATGATTGAAAAACAGATTTTTCCCGCCCTGATCAGAATACAAATCTNTTCTAGAAACTCACGGCATAGAGATGGTTGGATGCATCTTCCTCGATGA